CGGGGCTCAGCGCACAGCTGGGATATAAATCAAACACACCTCTCCTCGCCTACATCTGGCTCATCCTCGGCTGGCTGAGGAGAGCAGAGGAACACCTGCTTATTGGTTGCAGAGCTAATGGGTCAACGTCAGATTTCCTTGTTAAAGTTTGACATGTTTAATTACAAAGTTGCAGAAGAGCAGAAGTATTTTTCTGGACTTATCTCTAATAAACTTATCAGCAGTTATAGGTGATAACGTTGCAGGTATAAGGTCTCACATCACTCCCCCTGACTGGGATCTCTCTGTTCCCCAAATATTTTGCTGATTTTGACCACTTTGAGACTTTTTCTGAAGTGATCGGTCATCTGAAGCCTGCTGTGTGCTCCCTAGATGTCCCATCTGTAAAACGAGGTCTTGGACGCTGTCGGGGACGGCTGAGTTCTAAACATGCCATCATTCTGCCGTCGGTCAAAGAAGCTTCAGGCCAATCCCTAAGCTACCCTTTCTGTCTAAGATACTGGAGAAAGTTGTTTTCCACCATCTCCAGGCCCCGATGGAAATAAATACCTGACACGAATATCAGACTGAAATATTTCAGTCCAGTTTCACAGCACAGAATCAGCACTTTGAAAGGTTTTTGATGATCTTTTAGTAATTGGAGATTCAACCATTTTCATGCTTTCGGCTGCTGCATCCGATACAGTGGATCGTGTTTCCTGGTCTGTGCAGAGGTGTGTGATAGAGGTGTGTGTGTTTCACAGGCAGAGCTTTTTCTGTCACGTTGGTGGGTTTTCATCATCACCTGCTCCACTCTCATGACCTCCATTCTTGCTCCAGTACTCTTTTCACTTTCTATGCTCCTGATTTCAATTTTCCAAAAATATGGAATTGAATTTCCTGGTTATGCATCTGACTCACAAATCTGTCTGCGTACCACGGCTCCTCTGAAAGCTTTGCTGGACTCGCTGCCATGAAATCATGGATGGCGCTAAAGTCGTTGAACCTGAACAAGTGAAAAACTAAAGTGAGACTATTCAGACCTCTGTCAATAACTCAGTTCTGCTTTCTCATCTGCAGCTCATGACGGTGCACCAGTTTCCTGATTTGGGGGGGGACAGCTGAGAATGAACAGCTTGTAGAACTGGGGGAGACATATATAGATGAGAACCGGAAACAGCGTGTTTGGCAGCGTGGTCCCGCTCCTGAAATTCGATACTTTATTTCCAATTGTTGGTTTTTAAGTCTTTAAATGTGTTAGCGCCTTCTTACCTTTCTGACCTTTTAACAATGCATGTTCCCAAAAGATCACTGAGGTCAGCTGAGGAAACATGCCCTTAAACCTCAGAACAGTCTGGGCAATTAAAACTCGCATCTTTAAATCTTGACATTTTATTTTTCTTTCATTTATTTTGTTCTGTTATGCAGCACTTTGATCAACACTTGTTCTTAAAAGTGCTCATAAATAAACCGACTTGAGTTATTTGGTCATATCCAAACATGTGGCTTTGTGCATGAAGGGATGCAGATACATGCCAGGAGCTTCGGTGAATGTCCACAAACGTCAGAATGGGGAAAAATGAGACGTCAGGATCTCTGAGTACTGCCTGAGCGTCACTCTTTATAGGAGTGTTGAGCAGAAGAGCATCTCTGCACATCTCGTAGCCCTGCACAGGTCGAAGCAGATATATGATGCAGCTAAACAAATCAGTGCGGTCGGATGAGGCTGCACGCCTGTTGTTGGCAGCTCAGGATTCGCTGTCTGCGGCGTGAATCAGTGGACCCACCTGCCTTGTGCATATCAGGACTAGTAGTGGTGTGATGCTTGGTGTTTTTTCTTGCTGCACTTTTGGTTTGTTGATACAAATCAGTCACGTTTTCCTTGCCACACACTGGCCTCAGTATTTCAGCTGCAGACACACTTTAATAACTATGGACGCTACTTTGAGTCAGACGCACAAAGTAAAAGCTGCCTCAAGTTGCTTCGGTGGACTTCAGTGGCAGGCTAGTCACCGTTTGCGTGGGGACCATCGCTGACGTGAACCCAGTGTCTAAAATTGCAGTTCGCTTGAATCTGGCTTCAAACATGAGACTCGGCCGTTAAAAACACAGCAGAAATAAACACGTTACAGCCTGACACACTGCAACATGTTGTGGTGTCTATAGCTAATTTCTGTCTTTATAACAACTTTCAGCTCCGCTAATTTGAGCCACTTAATTCGACTCTGTTCTGACAAATAATATGGCTTCAAAATGACTTGTTGTGAGGGTAATTGCATGCTTATCTCGATGTTATTTAGCAGGTGTCTGTGTCTTTGCAATGCATCGATGCAGTTTGCTAACCAGGCTTGCTGCTGTTCCTGAAGGGAGGACTGATA